CATCATCATTACAGTATCTAGCTTTAACCTCTGGGCTTCCATGTCGATTAAGATTCAGGTGAAGATTTTGATTCGTCAAGGTTTGAACAGAAGCATAAATCTTTGCCCCAACAAAGTCATTTGCATCGAAATTAGCATCATCTACTGCACCGTCATAATTTTCTTCACAAATTTGAAGGCATTGTATGAGAACATGTTCTTTTGCTTGCTCTAGTAGATTTACGACTTCATTGTAAATACTTTTTGCCTTTGATAAACATTGTCGACGTAGAATACGTACCAAACTTTTTTTATCAGCAGAAGAGCTCTTAGGGGTCGTTCTAAGAGCAATGGTGCAAACTTTAAAGTTACTAGACGTTTGACAAACATCCTCTATCGAATCTCCCGATGAATAAGTTACCAGATAAAGAAAGAGCATGAAGATCACTATTAATGCTTTCAAGGAATTCATCTTCACCCGTTCATATATTTTTTGAGTCATATGTGAGTTGTTTTTATAGCTAAAATACAATATTCATATTTATTTCTTTTCCATAAAAAAATATTTAGATATTATTAGGTCAAGATTGGTAATTATATCATGTCCCTTTGAAATAAACTAGTATTAGTAAATATCCTCTTTTAATTTAGACACGCAAATAATTTAATATTAATTTAGAGATAAGTATTGAAAACACCCCTAAATTTGGCGTGAATGATTACTTTAGTCCTCCAACTATTGACAGCCTTAAAAACACTCTTCTACTTGATTAAGTGAATTTAAAAACACCCCTTGTATTCCACATGTGCATATATGCAGAAGTTTATGTTGACATGGCGTACACATAGATATATGTAATAGAAATTTTTTTAAAGAACATTTAAATAATTAAATATTAAGAATTTAGCAATTTAAGAGGATAAAAAAACTTTTTTTTTCTTATCACCTCACCCCATCCTCTACCCAGTACCCCTAGCCTCACACCTCTTTTTTTCTTCTTCTTTTGATAGCCTCACACCTCACTACCCACCCCACCCAAAAAATTAAATTCTTTTAAACTTTTTTTTTTTGGAGGGGAGAGGAGTGTAATAAGAAAAAAATATATATTTTCTTTTTTAAGGGGGTGGGGTGGGGGAGGGGGAGTCGGGGTACTCAGTGTTGGATAAAAAGTTTTTTTAAAAGACCAATAAAATTTTGGGAGGTGAGGGGTGGGGGTGGGTGGTGGAATTGGGGTACCTGGGTAGGGGATGGGGTGAGGTAAGAAATTTTTTTATTATTATTTAAAAATATCTTGTTTACTAAATTTTAGCATTTAATTATTGAATGTTTTTTAACTATATATATCTATGTGTATGCCACATCTATAAAAAAAATTCACATATGCGCATAGGTGGATGACATGTGGCATAAGAGGGGTGTTTTTAAATTAATTAATCAAGTAGAGGGGTATTTTTAAGGCTGTCAATAACTGAGAGATAAAGTAATAATTCACACCAAGTTTATGAGTGTTTTCAATACTTATTCTCATTAATTTACTCTAAATATGCTTTTCAATCAAATTTTTTTGTCATTAGCCATTATTTGTATATCAATTAAGACATTGGAAAATCCATCTTTCGATCAAGTGGTGATGTATAATGTCATTATGATCAATTGATCATCGATCTATTTAAAGTTGGAAATAACTATAGTTAAATCACTGCATTAACTATTTCTCAAGAATATTATGTACAATGTCAAAGAAATTAAGAAATAAAATTGTCAATTTTTTGGTTTAGTATACTATGAATAGTACACCTAAAGCTTATCATCTCTATGATAATGTATCGATAACAAAGGACCATCACTGTATCTCATATTTTATATTGTTTTAGTAAATAACATTTTAAATAGTTGTATGACATGTATTTTATTAGGATTAAAGAAAATATTTAAACACAACCTATATATTTGTATGGGGCCTTCATCAACAAAAAAAATCGAGGTTGAAAAACTTGACTTTTGTTATCCCTTTTAACATTTAACTTCTTATTTTTTCCCTACCCCATCTAGTTTTCTTACATTTTAGGTACGAGTAACTTTGATGAATAAAGCAAAAATAATATCTTTTTGATATTTTAAAAAATCACTTATTTTGGAGAATATTTAAAAAGTCAAAATATCATTTAGGAAAATCAGAAGAGTATATAAACATAAACAATAACAATAAAAGTATATATATATATATATATACACCATATAAAAATTGTGGTATCTGCAAAAATGTGATGTTGTTAGAGTCCGTTTTTGTGAATGGTGATATATCTCCATGCTAATGATAATGACGGAGTTGATGCAGCTGGTGGCGTTGATGGTGGTCCTAGCCATGCTAAATTAGTAGTTGTATAAGTAGCTAAGCTAGAAAAAAGAAAATTAAAAAGAGGGGATAGCCGATAGGGGGGATATGATATGGAGGGATATATATTTACTATTATTTTCGATTATATTATTGTTGTTGTCTAATTTGCTTTGATTATCATATTATTGATTATTGCTACTGTAATTTTCTCCATTTTATTTTATATGGCTTCCACTTCATTTTTTTCATTTTTAAAAATGATTTGGTTATTCTCAACTTGAGTCAAAGAAACGATCTTCTTACCTTTCTATTATCCGTATCAACTCCTTAAATAATCAAAATTGCTCAAATGATACTTAAAGAATTATTTAAACCTAGTAGTACAGAAGAAAATAGATTGTTTATCATCCCCCTCCCCCCCTAATTTTGATATTTTAACTTGCATGTGACCAATAGTTTTCTTTAGCCAATTTTGACATTTTACTTTCATGTGATCAATAATAGTTTTATTCATGACTAGAAACAAATACATATTAGGTAATTTTATATAGATATTAATGTTATTACTGTTTTTATTTAGTATCTGGGATGGAGTGTTATTTAGACACTTCACTATAAAAGGGTCAATTGAAATAATTGAAAGCAATAAGTAATAAATTAATTAAATCTTGACTATTATCGTGACCAAAGTTCAATTTGAGCTTTTAGTTCCTTAGCAACGTTACACTAATTAGAAACTGAAAGTTGAAACTATATAATATAATAAAATGTTATTCACTTACTATTCTAAGTTTACCAATTATTATTATTAGATAGATAAGAGAAGATGCTGATAAACGGGAAACAAGCTTCGTAGGATTGAACAAGTAATAGAATTGCGCAATAACTATAGCACCAATGTTTTATACGTAGAATCTAGATAAATGTAAATTATATATTAGTACCTTATGTTTAAATTTAATGCAAAATCAATGTTGTGTATCTACATTTCCATTTAAATTTAAATTATACACTTATTCTTTAGCAAAAACACTACTTATAAGAGTTTTTTTCCCCAAATGAATAATGGTTATTCACGTCCTAAACATTATCAAATTACCGTCTACTCAAGTCTCAACCGTGTCCAAGTATTCTTTTTGAATAGCAACTTTAATATATATATATATTTCCTTTGTCATTTTCACTTGAAAATCATGAACTTTTTCATCAACTTTTGTATCAAAGTTGTGTCGCATGATTGTGACTATCAACAATATAACATTTAAGGTATAATGATAATAATTCACCAATATATAGGTAAAATATACTTGAAGTGTTCATGCTAGATTTTTACTAATATATATATGTTCTCATTCTTTAGCAAATATGACAGTGACTTACTCCAACTTGTTTGACATTTGCTCATCAACTAATCTATTCTTTGCCTTATCCAACAACTCAATTCTTAGATGGGTGCAAAATTTGAAATTAACGTGTAAGTAAAGAGTTTTTTCTTTTATTATTAATATAAAGAGTGATATTGTAAAAAGATGACATATTATGGAGTAAATTAACAAATCGTATAGACACGAATGGTTAAAAAAGTATCGGCTTCAATTATAGATATAAGGTGAAATGAAAGCCACATTACTACAAGTATAATGGAGAATGATTGTAGGGTGCTTAACATCTAAGCAACCCGACTGGGAAAGGAGTAAGATTACGGAATTGTACTAAAAAAATTCTTAGACTTTCTTTTATTTGTGGTCAACTACCTAAAGGTTAATATGACTTATAGGCAAAGATCCACCAATAAAATGTTCAATTCCAATTCCATTTTATAGTTACTTTGGCGCATCGAGCCGTCCTCGTTAGTGACATAGAGATTTTTTTTTAATAAGGAATTCAAAATATAAAAATTTAAATACGAAACGATTACAAGATGATAAATCGAAGGGGAAAACAAAAGGAAAGACTTATATTAACCCGCTTTAGTTTAAGCTTTGTTGTTATTTATAATATGTAATTCCTTCCCATTTTCCCTACGATCCATCTAGCTTTTTAAAAAAATTCTAGTGCATTTTAGGTAAAGATTAACTTTGAAGAAAAAAACAAAAAATAATATCCTCTTGACATCTTAAAAACAAGCCACTTATTTTTGAGAATATTACAAAAGCTAAAATATCATTTAAAAAGAAATGAAGAAAGTTCAAGATTGTATCTTCACAAAATGTTTTTATTATAAAAGTCACAAGTTGATTCCCTTCAAACAAGAAAAGATAATAAGAAGAAAGCAATACCATAACTAAGCTAAGGATTAAAATGTTACTACAATTACATATTACCTAGGTAAGTAATTGTTCAAATGGTAGAAAAATTCAATGAAATGAATATGACATATAGTTGTCCAATAAAAGAGCCATAAAAATGACATTTTTACAAATCAATTTCCAAATTAAACGTGCAAGTAAAACTTTACCACAATATAAGGAGGGATATTGGTAACAATATACTTCATAGAAATCTTCAATTGCCAAGTAGAGTTGCGACTCAAAAAAGTTTCAGTTCTTTTCTGTTCATCATCTTTGTGATGGCCATCTCGGATAGTTCTTGCGGTACTCTTCTTCCGTATTTCTAAACTTTAGCTGTAATTCTTGTCCATAAACTGATTAGATTTTTTAAAATTTTAATGCAGGGAATATAATGGCGTTCTTTGTTGCTACAACTATAGTGGTATGTTGTCAAAACCAACTGATTATAGAAACACCTTATAATGCGGTCGTTTCTCAAGATGGGACCGGGAATTTCAACACAATTGCTGGAGCAATATTGGCGGCCCCTGATCACAGTGTCAAGCCATTCTTCATAAAAATCAAGAGAGGCACGTATCAGGAATATATTAGAGTTGATAAAAAGAAGACTAATATTGTCCTGGTCGGAGAAGGGATGGATGCTACGATAATAACGGGTAATAGAAGTTTTGTCGACGGCAACCGAACCTATGATACTGCAACCGTTGGTAAGTCCCTCTATATATATACTCAATTTTATTAATTTTGATGGATTATAATTGTTTCTTCTTATTTAATTTGCAGGGGTTCTTGGTGATGGCTTCTTAGCCCAAGACATAACCTTTAGGAATAATGCCGGACCCATAAAGCATCAAGCAGTGGCATTAAGAGTTGAAGCAGATTCGGTGTGCTTTTATAAATGTCGATTCGACGGGTATCAAGACACTTTGTACGTGAAAAAGAAACGCCAATTCTATCGAGATTGTGAAATATATGGCACGATAGATTTCATATGTGGTGACGCGACGACGCTGTTCCAAAACTGTTTGATTGAAGCACGCACTCCAATGGCGAGACAGTATAACACAGTCTCAGCCCAGGGGAGAGAGTTTGAGGACGTTGCAAGTGGAATAGTGCTTCAAAATTGCACTATAAAGGCTACCCGCGATTTGGAGAAATCGAACAATGTCAAGACATATTTAGGTCGGCCATGGGGTATATTATCTAGGACTGTGATAATGGAAAGTTATATCGATAACTTGATAGATCCTAGAGGATGGGTTGAATGGATTGAATCGACAAATAAATCCGTTGTTAGCCGTCGACCATATTATTTGGAGTACAAGAATAGAGGACCAGGTGCTGTCACGAAGGGACGTGTGACATGGGCATCAGTCACTACGGATCCAGATATTGCATCAAACTTTACGGTTAGGCAGTTTATAAAAGGTGACGAGTGGATTCCCGCAAACATTCCCCGTTACTTAGATTTATCTTGAACAACGTTAAGTTGTATTGTATTCCTACTAGTTATCCGATTACAAAAATAGTACTACTATGTACTTGTCTTGTTTTTTTTCCCAAATGAATTGATTATCTAATTTTAAATTCTGTCGTCAAGTAATTTATTGTTGTCCTTGTCCAACTAATCGATTGACCATTAAATCATAAAAAATAACATATTTACATAAACTTATTGTGTCGAAATGTGTCGGACACCAAATATTCTGGTTAGAATGACTCTTAGGATGACCAAGAGAAACATAACTTAAAAATGATAGTCACATGTACACTTCATTTTATGCATTATAGCAGGAATTTATCACTCAAAACAGTAGAGTCACGGGCTTAAACAACCAAAACACTTAGAAAGCCAAATAAGTAAGGCTTAAATGCAAGCAGAAACTTTCGTCATTTAAAGCAAAATATAGCAGAACCTAATAAAAGAAAAGAACATGATATATTGATATTATTAATATTATAAACGAAAAACTAACTTATAAATGATATTAATTAATCCCTATCAATAAAGGAATTAAGATTAGCTTATTTCAATGAAACAGTTGTCTTATTGTCGATGCAGAAACGAAAACTGAAGTAAAATTAAAATCAAAATAAAAGAAGGGCAAAGGACATAAATCACATACTTTAAAGCCAAAATGACCATTTGTCCCTTATAAGTTTAAAATGACTGAAATCCCTCAAAAATTTAAAACACGGATACAATAATTCAGCACTGATACATTAAATATATGGCGCGGATACATTATTAATTAAAGGTTGGATATTTTTTTGTTGAGCTTTTAATGGAAAATAAAAACGGAAAATCAAAAATTGAATCCCATAAATCACGCCAAATCAGTTTACATTATATTTTAAATTCCGCTGTGCTTTCAGTTTTTTTTTAGTTTTCAATTTAACCTTGATAAAACATTGCAATATATCAAAATAGGTGTTGAAATAATGTATCATCACTTGTTTGTTAATAATGTACAATATATTCTGATTGTGGAAATTGTATCAGTTTGAGTATTTCAATTTTACAATTATATAATGTATCATAAGTTAAGTGAAATGAGCCACCAACTAATGAGAATAAATTGACCAAAACAACCAGAATAGTAAAGCTGTGTTTCCTTATGAATTATTGAATCTGATACATTGAGTTATTAAAGTGCAAAGGAATCGGCTGATAAATTTGAGCAAAAATTATCAGAGCATGAAAAGAGTGTCAAAGTATCGGTTCCTATCAGAAGCAATGAAAATGAATGAATTCATTTATTTATGAATTAATGAATATGATACATTGCATTAGTAAAGTGTGGAAGTATCAGTTTGTACAAGAAGTAATGAGCATAAATGTTGTAGTGTGTTTGAGAATTAATGTATCTGATACAAGAATGTTATCTAATTTTTGTATCAAATTATATACGACAAGATTGTTCATCAATGTACTTCATATATAACAGGTGAAAAAATTGAAAGTTGCAATACATTAAATCTAGAATTATATGTAACTGATACAACATTTACTATGAAAGACACATTATATGTAATTGATACAATATTTACTATGAAAGACACATTATATGTAACTGATACGATATTTAGTATGAAACTTGAAATAGCAGATACACATACACAGACCCATAAACAAAACACAAACGATACATTAATGACTGAGATCTACTGAACAATGCATGTTATAACAGTTGAAATAAAATACATTATAATTTAACTTAGTTAGGGTTAGTGTATAAATTGATTACAGATAATAACGATACATTAAATAAGAGACCTGAATTTGTGCATTTTTTGTATCATAAATTGATTAACTAACAAAAAAAATTACAACATTCGAAAGAAGAAGAACTAAAACCTAACCTCAGGTAATGGAGGTCGAGAAATTGGAGGAGCAAATTTTCGACCCCTTTTTTTGGGGTTTTACGAACGGCTTTTGAAGATGAAGCAAAATCATTTTTCTTCTTTCCATTTTTTACATTCGCCATTAACAATGGGTCGTGTAGGCTTTTGGATCTGTTCTCCTCCCAACCAGTATCTTCATAGTCATATATCCGATTAGTGTTAGCATCATCCATCTGATTCAACAGTTAGAAGAACAAACAAAAGATCAACAGTATAAGCAGAAACAAAAGAGGATTACAAGAAAAGTATCAAATTTACCTAGAGTATACACAGAGAGATACTTGATTTTGAAGAATATTGGAGAAATCAACTGTCAAAGAAAATGTGGAGAAGTTTTAGGAGAGAAATAAGAAAAGAATGAACTCTGATTTTTAGCGTAGGAAAGGCCCAATATTGTATCCGTGAGATTTTTTGACTTAAAAGAGAAAAAGAGGGATTTTGGGGATTAATAAAACTATTAAGGGAAAATAGTAATATGTAAAATTAAGGAGGGGATTTGTGTGATTTTGCCATAAAAGAATGGGGAGTGTATTTGGGCTTATAGTTTTGCTGATATTTTGGGTTTGTAGAGGAAATTTCACAAATAGCCATTAAAAATAACTTAATTAGGTTTCATAACTATAGTTTGCTAATTACGATTCATAGTTACATGTTAGAGGGGGGGGAGAGGCCAGCGAGATTGAGAGGGGGAAGAGAGAGAGGCGAGCGAGAGAGGGCAGAGAGTTGTATGAGGCCTAACTACCTATTACTGAAAATACATCATAAATATCGGGCCAGGCCCAATACAAGTATTGAGAAATAATATCAGGATCCACTAACTTCAACACCCCCCACAAGTTGGAGGGTGACAGAACACCCAACTTGTGAAGATGCATGTGATGAGTAGCACCAGGTAAACATTCAGTGAACATGTCGGCCAATTGAGAAGCACTGGCAGTATGAGACAGGCTGATCAACCCATCAGAAAGCTTAGTGCGGATGAAATAACAATCCAACTCGATGTGTTTGGTACGCTCATGGAAAACAGGATTCTTGGAGATATGGATAGAAGCCTGGATGTCACAAAATAGAGGAACATAGGTGAAACTAGGCAGCCCAAGGTTAGATAACAGACGAGTGACCCAAGTGAGTTCATCAACAACTTTTCTCATAGCCCTGTATTCGGCCTCAGCAGAAGAAAGGGGCACAACAACCTGCTTTTTGGACTTCCAACCAATCAAGCTACCACCTAAAAGTACACAGAACCCAATCACAGAGCGACGATTATCAGCACAAGCCCCCCAATCACTTTCGCAATAAACAACAAGGGAGAGGCCAGGATCAGAGGAGAAGAAGACACCAAACTCAGAAGTACCCTTGAGGTAACGAAGGAGATGCAAGGCAGCACGCATGGCCGATGTATGAACTGACTGAGGTGTTGGACAATAAAGCAGATGCCAGGTCGCGTATGAGTTAAAAAATTCAACTTACCAATAAAACACTGATACTCCTCGGGGAGAAGAACAGGGTCCCCATCATCATCGTATAGCTTGGTATTTATTTCAAGATGACAAACCACTGGTGAACAATTAAGACTGTGAAAGAAAGTCAGGAGATCATGGACAAACTTTTTCTGATGTAGCGGAACTCCAGAGGGAGTGTACAAGACTTCAATCTCGAGAAAATAATTGAGAGACCCTAAGTCTTTGATCCTGAACTCAACATGGAGGAAAGACTTGAGACAAGAGAACTTAACTAGATCAGAACCCAGTAAGGATGATATCATCCACATAAATGGCAAGCACGACCAAAGAATTAACAGAACCCTTATGAAAAAGGGAATAATCATTGAGGGAATGGGTATAACCACTAGAGCATAATGTCTGAGACAATTTGGCATACCATTGCCTAGAAGCCTGCGGTAAACCATAAAGGGACTTTCGTAACTTGCAAGCTAAAGGAAAAGAAGAACAGGAAGAAACTGTCAAACCAGGAGGAATGCGCATAAAGACTTCCTCATCAAGATCCCATGTAGGAAGGCATTATTGACGTAAAGTTGAAACATAGGCCACTATTTCTTGACAGCCACAACAACCAAGGTCTTGACAGTGGACATCTTGACAACATGGGAAAATGTCTCATGAAAGCCGATGTCCTCAACCTGAGTGTCACCTCGAACTACCAAGAGAGCCTTGTATCTTTCCACACTCGCATCAACTTTATACTTGATCTTATAGACCCATTTGCACCCTATAGGTTTCTTTCTAGGAGGTAATGAAACAATATCCCAAGTACCATGCATCAAATTCTAACTGCATGACATGCTTCCACTCAGGCACAAGAGCAGCCTAAGAATAAGAATATGGTTCAACAACAGGATGTTGTCTAGAAGTATGGGAACTGGAGACGTGATCAGAAGTATGAGAGAGATAAGGAGGAAGGGAATAGTCACTGAGTTATTTGGGCAAAGAATGAGGTCGAGAAGATTTTCTCGGAGGAGGAAGTGGGGAATCTGGATGATCAGAAAGTAAATCATTAGCAGAGTATAAATGGGGTGAAGGACAAAGGGAAGCCAATGGAGAAGAAGGAGGGGAAAAAACATAAGGGTCAGTAGGTGGAGAATGATCGACAATATGGAGGTCATCAAAATAAGATGGGGAAGGAAAAAGGGATGGAGAAGAAGGAACAGTGCTGGAAGTGGCAAAAGGGAAGATATGTTCATGGAACACAATATCCCTAGAAACAAAAGAAGTTTTGGAAGAAAGATTATATAGCCTATACCTTTTCTTCCCAAATGGATATCCTAAGAAAATGCAAGAGGCAACTCTAGGTTGAAACTTGTCTCGGTTGGACTTAGAGATAGTTGAGTGACAGAGACACCCAAAAGCGTGAAGATGAGAGTAGGTGGGGTGTTTGGAGTAGAGGAGCTCATAGGGGCTTTTAGTATGTAACAAAGAAAAAGGGAATCTATTGATATGGTACGTAGCAGTGAGAATACAATCCCCCCAAAATTGAATGGGAATAGAAGATTGGAAAAGAAGAGCCTTGGCAGTTTCAAGCAAATGTCGATGTTTTCTCTCCACAACTCCATTTTGTTGTGGAGTGTGAGGGCATGTGGTTTGATGAATAATACCCTCTGTGGGAAAAAAAATCAATACCAAGAGCTGGAACCCAACTCAAATGCATTATCACTCCTGACAGTGAGGATCTTGGAGCAGAATTGGGTTTCAACCATGTTGATAAAAGCTTTCAAAAGATCAAAAACGTTGTTCTAGGCACCCATAAAATATGTCCAGGTGGCTTTAGAAAAGTCATCGACAATCGTCAAAAAATATATAGAGCCATTGTGAGTTGGATAATTATAGGGTCCCCAAGTATCCAGGTGGATCAACTGGAAAGGGTAAGTGTATTGAATAAAGCTATCAGAGAAAGACAACATGGTTTGTCTAGCTAAGGGACAAATAGGGAAAGGAAATGATTGTTTAGGAGATAAAATATGCTGAAGTGTTGAAATATCTTTCATACGAGAAAAAAGAATGTGACCAAGTCTATAATGCCAAACAATATCCAGTTTATTGACTTTATTCAGCTTGTCGGATGCAACATCTGTTACATTGGAGAAAGTGCCAAAAGAAACAGATACATCAGAATCAATAATAGAACTATGGGAATAAAGGGACAAACAACAGACGGAGTACAAGCATTTGAAAAATGACAAGTTTCAGTGAGAAGTATGCTTAGAAGAAGTTATGGGAGGAAGAAACAACTTGTAGAGGCCATTATCCACCTTACCAAGAACCAGAGGCATCTTCTGAGAAGGGGCATGCAAAGCACACAAAGTTTTGGTAAAGTAAACAACTCCATCTAGCTAATCAACAAGATTTTGAATAGATATAAGATTGTACTGGAAGGAAGGGATGTAAAGAACATTGTGCAAAGTAATGTGAGGAAACAGAGCCAAGGAACCTGTATTGGTGACCTTAACTTTATAACCATTAAGAAGGGAAACAAGTACAGGGAGAGGCAAAGTTTGAAGGTTGAAAAGTAAGTCCTTGTTGGAAGTTATATGATCGAAAGCTCCGGAGTCTATGATCCAGAGGAAACTATCTACCTAAGAGAGCATGCGTGATTTGTACAGAATGCTTTCAGATATCAGCTTATCAGCAAAATTGGTAGACATCATGAGACATGAAGGACTGGATGTAGTAAAAGATATGTGAGTCTGTTTCATCAACAACAACAATTGAGAATGTTAATTAAAGGTCAACCTATAAAGACCAACATCAGTAACTTCTAAAGACAAAGGTGAGGCAGGAAGAGGCTCAACTTCAACATGAGTTGCAGTCTTTTGGGATCCTAGATTTTTTGTGAACTTGAAACCAGGTGGAAAACCATTTAATTTGTAGCACTTGTCAATTGTATGCCCTGGTTTCTTGCAGTATTTTCAGAGAAGGGAGGACTTAGTATACTCAAAATTTACCCGTGGTGAAGATGACGGTTGTCTCATAACTCCAACATTGAAGGACGTGGAGCTGGAAGGAAATTGAGAAGGGGCAGACACAGTTCTCTATTTTTCATCATTAAGAAGTAGCCCATATGCAACTCCAACCAAATGAGTGGGTTTCAATAGAAGGATGTGACTCCTAACCTGAACATAAGTGTCGTTTAGCCCCATGAGGAACTGATAGAGCTTCTGCTCATCTTCATCTTCCTGATAAAGCCCTTTGGCACCACAATTACAAATCCTAGCTTGTCTAACAGAAATGGAGGCAATCTCATCCCAGAAATGCTTAATTTTGTTGAAGTATGATGGAATGTCAAGAGATCCTTGAGAAATATTAGCTAGTTCCTTTCTCAACTTAAATTCTAGCACCATCAGCTTTATCATATCGTTCCTCAAGTTCACTCCAGACTTCATTAGAAAGTTCAGAATACTCAACACTACGCCCTCTTTAGATAAAGAATGAAGAAGCCATGAAAGGAAGAGATCATTGAACCTCGGACATTGCCTAGTTAATGGTGAGTCAGAGGAGGGACACAATGAGGTTTTATCGATAAATTCGAGTTTGTTGCGGACGAATAGGGTGACAAGGATAGTGCGTCTCCAACTAGCATAACAAGTTCTATCGAAGGGGATAGATACTAAAGAACCTCCTAAGATATCAGAAGGATAGACATAAAGAGTATGACAAGGATGCGTGTAATCATCTTTGTGAAACTCAGTTCTGGATGGCAAATAAGAAGTACTACCAGTAGACGAAGAAACCGTTGATGTCTCAGTTCCAGTCATCAAATGATAGTCACGAACACCAAAAAAATGAGATGAATAACCAAATGAATGAGAGTAGAATGAGAATACCAGACTTTTTCACTACCGGAAAGAGAACAACCTTTGCACAGAGAGACTCCAAACACGAACTAGCTAGAACCCTAGAAAATCCTCGATTCGACTTTGAAACTTGTAAAATCTCAATGAAAAATGATGAGGGTAGAATCGATCGAGAGCAGGAAGCTAGAAATAGAAGGATCTATGCTCTGATACCATGTAAACAGTTACGATTCGAGGCAGAAATGATGAACCGACTCCATTACAGTGGAACTTTCTAGAGAGAGAAATAAGAAACGATTTTATTATCAGACTAAGAAGAAAATAAATTATTGTTACAAAATATTTGGCCCATGCCTATATATACAGTTGTGTGAGGCCCAACTACCTTTTACTGAAAATACATCATAAATATCAGGCCAGACCTAATACAAGTATTGAGAAATAATATCAGGTCCCAGGACTCTATTTAATGGCTCCACAAACTTGCGAAACATACTCACATGCGGGACATTTAGGACGTTAGCTAACTTCTGGGCTTCAGCATCTCCCTCAATGTCTTGACCAATGAGCACTTTCTCTAGAGGGTCTTGGGCTTCAACATATTTAGATGCCATAGCCTCATCAATGACTGTAATTGCAGACAGCTCTTCATATATTGCAGGCAACTTTATTGCTTTGTACACATCAAACTCCTCAACCTTGTCATGAGCCCTCATTGTGAGTCTACCGGCCGCCACATCAATCCATAGCTTTATCAATAACTGTAATTGCAGACAGCTCCTCATATATTGCAGGCAACTTCATTGCCTTGTATACATCAAATACCTCGACCTTGTCATGAGCCCTCATTGTTAGTCTACCGGCCACCACTTCAATTAATGCACCTTCGGTTGCTAGAAATGGGCGTCCCAAAATAAATGGGACCTCTGGGTCAGGCTCAAAATCCAAAATGACAAAGTCCACGGGGAAAATCAGAGTTCCTACTTGAACCAAGACATCTTCAATAACGCCATTTGGCTTTGACACTGAACGGTCCGCTAATTGCAACATAATGGTTGTGGGCTTGGGTCTTCCTAGTCCTAATTTGAGAAACATGGAAGTAGGCATTAAATCGATACTTGCACCCAAATCGCATAAACCTCTTGCCTCAACACATCTGCTAATTTTTATTTGAACAGTGAAACTCCCTGGATCTTTCAACTTAATTGGAACCTGTTCTGGATCCTAGAACTGCACTCCTCTGTGAGTGCTACTATTGCATACTCAACCAATCTACTCTTGTTGGCTACCACATCTTTCACATATTTGGCGTACTTAGGAATGCTCTGCAACACATCTATCAAAGGCAAGTTAACATGTACCTGTTTGAGTAATTCAATAAACTTACCAAAACATTCCTCCTCCCTTTGTTTTTTGAATCTATGTGGGAATGGAGGAGGTGGTTTTGCTTTTGGTTCCTCATTTGCCCTTTGCTCACTTGGTTCTGCTTCATCTACATGTGTTACTTTTTTCTCAACAACTTTTGCCTTTGGTGGCAACTCCTCCAATGGACGACCACTCCGAGTACTCACAACATTTACCTGCTTCGGGTTAGGGTCGGTATTTCCCGGCAAACTCCCTTGTGGTCGGGAATTTTGGGAACTAGCAAACTGCCCAAACTGCTTCTCCAAATTCTGAGTCGGCAATTGATTATTTCGAACATCTGCTGCCAATTTAGCTTGATCCACCATGATTTATTTTATCATGTCCTCCACACTCATATCACTTTGCTTGGCAGCCTGTTGATTTCCATGGCTTAGCTGATGGTATTGTTGTCCATTACTCTGTGGTCTGTATTGGTTCTGTCCTTGATGTTGGTTTTGATTGCTAACCCAGGAAAAGTTTGGGTGGTTCCGCCAGCTCGGGTTGTAGGTATTTCCATAGCTTTGGTAATTTCCTCCTCGTTGCGAATTACCTATAAAATGAACAGATTCTGGGTTTGCTCCACATACCTCAGCATTTTGATCTCCACCTCCACATACTTCACACCAAGCTTGTAGTTGATGTACCATATTAACTTGGGCTTGTTGTTTTCCTAGTGACATGTTGTTGAAATGAGTAGTCATCATATTCTGCATTGCTGCGATCTGTGCCAACAAAGCTGTCACTGCATCCATTTCCAACACTCCAGCAGTCTTTTTCACGACCGGTTTAGCTCTTCCGCCGTTCCACTCGGGGTTACCCTATGAAATTCTATTAAGCAATGTAAACAGCTCAGCATATGTCTTCTCTAAAGTTTGTCCACCTGCAGCAGAATCAAGTAATTTTTTTGTGTTTGGTTCCAACCCTTTAATGAAGGTATGGACCAACACTTCGTTAGCTTGATGGTGATGTGGACAACTTAGCAGCAGAGACTTAAACTTATCCCAAGCCTGGTACAAGTTTTCCCCTCCTTTCTGTCGGAAGCTTAATATGTCGCTTCTCAGCTTGGTTGTTTTACCGGATGAAAAAACCTTATCAAAAACTTTCGGGCCAGATCATCCCACGTTGTTATGGAGTTTGCAGGCTTAGATTTTAACCATCTTTTTGCTTCCCCCAGCAGAGAAAAGGGGAATAGTGTGAGCCTCACATAATCAGCATTCACTCCAATTGGAGTGTAGGTGTTACTGATCTCGAGGAAATTCTGGATATGCACTCTTGGGTCCTCATGAGATAGACCAGTGAATTGCCCGTTTGTGTGCAGTAGTTGCACCATGTTCTGCTTTAATTCAAATATCCCACCAGGAGTAGGTTTCTGAATACTTGAGGTAACATTGGTGGTTTGTGGGATTGCCACATCCCTCAGTTTCATTTCTGCCATCACTGCCGGTGGGTCTTGATCCTCCCTTTCTTTTGAAGTTTCTGGTTTACTAGCCACAAGAGGAACAGGATAGGTGAGTCTTATTTGCCTTCTCCGGTAACGAACAAATCTCTCCGGTTCAGCTAAAGGCTCTAACAAGTCCTGGTCGTCTTTCGGCGTGAAAACTTGACACAACCTGTTAAATGAGGAGCCAAGATCAAGTTGTCAACACTTGTACAAATAATTTAGACACTCAAAAATTAGATATCTGCCGATTTTAAAGTCCCCGGCAGTGGCGCCAAAAACTTATTGCGTCCAAAAGCACACGCAAGTGCACATGGTCACTCAAGTAGTACATCGACTCTTTTGAGCCGGATTATCGAACCCAAGGGACTTCAAATCAACAAATAACAACTTTGCTATATCTAAAATAAATTTACTTATGTGACAAACCATTTTAGAAATTCGTTTATAACTACTAAGTTGACCAATCTCAAGGATTAATTACTACAATTAAACAGTTTCAAACAAGAGAGTTTTACAATATGGTAAGGTAATCTAGGGTTGCAGCATAACCCGATTTCCGGCATAATATTAATTTATCCTAGCATTCGACAGACTAACCTCATTATGGATTTGCAAGGTTCATTTTACGACTATGGTCTCCCGACCTCTAATCGCCTTCCACCATTGACAGCCTAACTACATCGTTGAGCGGGGATAGGCATGAACCAATGGCGGAGCATTAATCTATCTTCTTGCATAGTAATCAAGCGTGGTATATAAGTATAAGACTATCCTATATACAAAACACTCTAATTTTACTCTAGAGTGAACACACTTCCCACATTCTTTGGTCTATCCCTCTATTCATCTTCCGAGTTCAAGAGCAGACAACAAGTGTATTTTAATGTTGATCATGCATTAAAATAGTTAAACAAGAATGCAATCATAAATCACAAGAAACCCCATCTCATGCTAGAACCAAATATTAATTTACCATTAATCGTAGCTACAACCCTAGAATAAGGAACTTTAGCTACTCATGGAACCGAAGATCATCAAGTAATGTTTATGGCTCATAAAAGAGTTTACCAAAATGAAGGAGTAGAAGAAAATCCCTAGAAAGTGTTAACCAAATTTCCCAAATCGAGTTGCTCTCTTCTTTCTAAAACTGGATAATGAAAGAAATAACACACTTAAACTATTTATAGTCTAAAATAAAACACGTGGCCAATTTCTGGTGTCCAGGTCCGCGTCGTGGACCTGTTCCCTCGCCTATAGTTGCACACAGATGAACCCTCTCCGCGACGCGCTCCCATCGCGCACTCCACTGTTAAGTGAAATTCCATTTCTGCATACGCGTATTGGCTCTGCGACGCGGAGATGCTCCCTCGTGGTGTATTCTCCAGCTTCTTGGCCCTTTTTCTCCGCAACTTCGTCTTCTATTTTCTGACCTCTGACCAGGTGCCCTATTTTGGCTCGTTCTTCTTTGCTTTTTCACCCTGAAACATCTAATCACATTGGTTAGAAGAAGCGACATCAAAAGGCCCTCAAAACTTAATTCCGACTACTAAAAATGCCCTCAACTTAGCTATATATATGGGATAACTTGGTTATTAGGTGCATAAATACGCCCAAGATTACATATATATATATTCATCTTATGAAGTCAAATAGGCAACTTATACTCAATGCACTACAACATGAGGAAAAACAATGCATATAAGTCATTTTTATCAAGACTTCAGCTTTTTCATGAACATGCATATAAGGAAATCATGGCAACACATAAACACACAATAACCTTACTAGATAGGCACACCATCTCCTCCTTGGGAGTAAGCCTACTAAAACTCTCCTAAACATCATTCATACTAAAGGCAACTTCAAGGCCTAACATAATAAGTCACAAAAGACCAAACAATACCAGAATCTAACAAAGCATGGAACACATACCGATAGTCATATCCGGAGATCACTCTTGATCATTTTTAGCTTAGAGGACATAGAACCTATTCTTCTTTTGAACAATATCTTCCGACCCACTAGGATCAACTTGCTTACCCTCTCTTCTCATAGCTTTTGATTTTGGACAATCCCTTATCTTGTGGCCACTCTCACCACAACTAAAGCAACCCTCTCTACTGGCCAAACACCTACCTTCATGTCTCTTACCACACCTAGCACAAGTAGACCATAAAGACTCATTAGTAATTCCGGGTGGCTTAGGGTTAGACACCCTCTCATCCTTATACTTAGGAGCATTAGAAGAGCCATGTCCAAAAACTTTTGTCGATTCCTAAAGCGACCATATCCATCGGACCGATCATGAAATGACCTATCATTATTCATCCTAAACCTCTTTTTCTCCCTAGATTTTTCCTCTTTGAGTTTATCTTCCTCCATTTGTTGATCATACTCTATATGAAGTGAGATATCCATATCATCATGGAGCTTTGCCGTACGACATTCTTTTGTTACTATGTCGGACACCCCCGTCAAAAACCTAATCAACATATCCCTCGGACTCGCCACTATAGTTGGAGCATACTTAGAAAATAGAGTAAATTTCAAGGCATACTCATTAACACTCATACTACATTGCTTAAGGTTGATGAACTCTTCCACCATAGATTTCCTCAAATCCCGGGAAAGAACCTATCAAGAAATGCCTTCTTAAACACTTCCCGCTCTATAGGACTCGCTTCTACCTGCCTAGCATCCTTCCATTGTTCATACCATATTTGAGCAACATCTTTCAATTGGTAAGCGGCTAGCTCCGCTTTTTCTATCGAAGTCACCCTCATAATAGCAAGTACCTTATAAACCTCCTCTATAAACCCATTAGGATCTTTTTCCACTTTAGAGCCACTAAAATCTGGAGGGTTCATCCTTAAAAACTTCCTCACTCTAGAAGCAGCCATCCCCGTTATTGGGTTTGTCGGAGCTACCACCTTCATATTCACTTGTGTCGTCATGACTTGAGCTTGAGTAGTCAAAGCTTGGGCCAACATTTGGAAAGCCGACCTAATCTCCGCATTTGACATATCTGGGGTTCAATTGAAGCTTCAAGAGGAGCTTGGTGTGGAACTTGGGGAGGAACCTCTTGATCTACATTGCCTTCCTCATCTCTCCTAGCATTTGCCCTTGTATTAGCCATGCCCTGAAAAACCATAGGGCACGGATTAGAAGAAGTACCTACTAGAGCCAAACTCTATGGCACGACTTAGAGAATGAAGAAGTGAAGTTTTCTAAACATCCAATAGCCTCCTATTCATAAATGTGGCGCGCTTCACATTTATGAACAAGACTTTACTAGACGTGGTTTGCGACAATCCTAGAACCATTCTAAAACATATGCTCTTATTACCAAGTTTGTCACGACCCAGGGGGTACACTCTAGAAGTAACATGGCGTACTTGACCCCGAAGAGGTCTCATACAAGCCTTTAGCATATCATAACATAAGATAATAGAAAAGTATGTAAATTTTAAAAACTTTATCCATACAATCAAAGTCTTTTATAAAAGCAAGCGGAAGTCTTTACTACATTTTGTCTCAAACCATCTAATACAACTTTCGAATAAACTCTTGGGACATAGCTCATACAATAGTCTCAAAACATGAAAATAAAAGACATAAAGGAAATAGTGGCTTTGTCCTCGAAGCTATGAGGACTCACCAAATCTTTAACTCATTTGCTCCTTAGAAACCTAGCCTCAAGATTGGACTTCAAATCTCCAAACCCTACATTTGTTTAGAATGTAGGCAAAGTATGCGTTAGTACAAAATGTACTAAATATGTTAGCTAGCATAACATAAAGGTTGTTGACACCCAATTTTGGCCTAACATTTTTAAAATTCGTAACTTTTAAGTTTTATTTATATAATGGTTCAAAATAATTTTTT